ATTGGTTTAATATGTAGTTAAATAAATTTATACTATTTTATCAACAATCTATATCTATCTAACAGTAACTATAGATTAAGCCAACTAACTTTGACTTTAGATACATATATAAAGTATATCATCAATTACCGAATTATTGTAGTATGGCAATAACAACTTTCATTTACTTGACTTATTGATCTTAAATACCAATATACAAATGAGTGATAAATTTGTTTAATTATAAATAAATCGGATATATTACTTACCATCAGGGATTTCAAAATTAATAAGTCGACTTATTACTGTAAAATACATACATATAAATTTACTAAAACTATAATTTAATCCAATTTAAGAAAATAAATATTGTTACCTGCATTTACTATATTGGCAAATTTGGAAATTTTTACAATTAATAACGTATTACTAATTTTTTTTTTATAAAAAACAAATATGTCATTACCTGGTTTAGGGAGTTTTGAAAGATTCAAAGATCGACTTGTATAAATAGCTTGTGGATGTGTTTGATATTTAACTTGATCATATGTTAAGAAGTTTTTGTCTAGATTTTTAATATTTTTAACTTGTTTATATAATTCAGTTTTTTCATGTCTCAAATCTTCAAAAAAGCAATGCAGCGTATCAGATAATTTCTCAGCAGTTGGTCGGTTTTGAGGTTCTGCGTCTAAGCATTTATTCATCATATCCAAAAGTAATTGAGGAACTTCGCATCTAATTTTAGGTCTGAGACCATTACAAATCTTGAGTGTAAGGCCGAAATCATGTGGAATATCATGATATGGAGGATATCCAGTAAAAACTTCCGACATAACTATTCCGAAAGAATAAATATCTGATTTTTGAGTACATTCCTTTCCATTTGTGTATAATACTTCTGGAGCAATATATGGAATCACTCCAAAAAGTTCCTTCAAATTTGAGTCTTTAGATACTGGCTTACATAAGCCAAAATCGGTGATGTAGGACCTGTACATATTTTTATTAACTATATTGCCGGAATGAAAATCTTTATGCACTAAATTGGCTTCGTGAATTGTATTAAGCCCACTAGCTATGTAATATAAGTTAGCTACTTTAGAAGCCCAATTTAATTCACCATATTTACTATCTAACAATTTTCTGAGGCTTCCTTGCTTTGCATACTCCATAACCATCATGTAGTTACCATCTTTTGGGTTCTTGGTTATTCCATAAATCGCAATTACCGAATCGCCACCGTGTTTATGTTGGTTTTTAATCTAAAATATTGATTAGGATAAATAAGATTTATTACACTTTAATAATAAATTATAATGCTTACTTCTTCTAAAAATTCTTGGTTTATATCTTTAGAATTATCAAGACTTTTTAAGCAAACATCTATTTGCGGCCTTCTCTTCCATTCATTCTTTTGATCAAGTCCTGTAATGTATCCATCAATCCATACTGCCTTAAAAACGGTGCCAAAGCCTCCTTTAGCAAGATACTTTATATTTGTGAATTTGCCAAAGGGTATCCATTCAATAATGTCTTTAAACTGCCTTGCATTAAGTTGTATTTGTTGAATTAATTGATCAATATCATGATTATCACTCGTCCAATTACAAAATTCTTTTTCAAACCTTAATATTAAAAAATAATAAATATAATAATAATTAAGAGTTATATTTTTGATTTACTGTAAAAATTCTGTTATTGATCAATAACCATGAATAAAACCAGAATCAGATTGTCGGATAATGACGGAATGCTGGCTTATTGGGGATTAGTGCGACTTTCCTAGGTTGTGTTAACAATAATTCATACTGCCACTTGATGAGTATCCTTATGTAAAGAAAATCCCGAGTTGCCGGCCAAAAAAATATGGGTCGTAGTATCTCAAAAATTCCCTATATATCTACATTAACAATTGTATTCTATGAGTAAATTTTCATTCTGAAAACTTTTACTTAGAAGTCAGAAGTTAGTTATCATAGTAAATTTTTGTGTTATTTACGGTTTTTTTTATGTTTTTCGCGTTTGTTTCCTGTGATTTTATTGGATCCGGATAGGGTCGGATGTGATCTTCAGCGATCTTCAGCCCGGGATTTTCTTGACATAAGGGTACCCGTCATTATCCGACAATCTGATCCAAGGTTTCGTCATTATCTGACAATCTGATCTCGGTTTGATTCATGCGTCAAGGATAATAAACAGTATCGATTGTACGTACTTGCTATAGCGATATGAGTGATTCAGATATGGTTATGTTAATTTTGTATTGTAATGTCCGTGATTTCTATAGTGATTTGTGATTTGCTGTAAAAAATTTTGTTACTGTACTTACATACTGTGCGTGTGTTGTGGTGACACAAGTGATTTAGATATGGTTATGTTAGTTTTGTATTAGAATGTTCATGATTTCTATAGTAGTTTACTGTAAGAAATTCTGTTACTGTACTTACAAACTATTATGATGATACAAGTGATTTAGATATGGCCATGTTAGTTTTGTATTGGAATGTTCGTGATTTCTATAGTGATTTACTGTAAAAAATTCTGTTACTGTACTTACTGACTATTGTGGTGATTTAGATATGGTTATGTTAGTTTTATATTGGAATGTTCATAATTTCTATAGTGATTTACTGTAAAAAATTCTATTACTGTACTTACCGACTGCGCGTATGTTGTGGTGATACGAGTAATTTAGATATGGTTATGTTAGTTTTGCATTGGAATGGTCATGATTTTTAGTGATTTACTGTAAAAAATTCTGTTACTGTACTTACCGACTGCGCGTATGTTGTGGTGGTACAAGTGGTTTAGATATGGTTATGTTAGTTTGTATTGGAATGCTCGTGATTTCCATAGTGATTACTATAAAAAATTCTGTTACTGTACTTACCGACTGCGCGTGTTGTGGTGATACAAGCGATTTAGATATGGTTATGTTAGTTTTGTATTGGTAATATTCGTTATTTCTATAGTAATTTACTGTAAAAAATTCTGTTACTGTACTTACAGACTGCGCGTGTGTTGTGATGATACAAGTGATTTAGAAATGGTTATGTTAGTTTTGTATTGGAATGTTCATGATTTCTATAATGGTTTACTGTAAAAAATTCTGTTACTGTACTTACTAACTGTGCGTGTTGTGATGATACAAGTGATTTAGATATGGTTATGTTAGTGTTGTATTGGAATGTTCATGATTTCTATAGTGATATACTGTAAAAAATTCGGTTACTGTACTTACCGACTGCGCGTGTTGTGGTGATACAAGCGATTTAGATATGGTTATGTTAGTTTTGTACTGGAATGTTCGTGATTCTATAGTGATTTACTGTAAAAAATTCGGTTACTGTACTTACATACTGTGCATGTGTTGTGGTGATACAAGTGATTTAAATATGGTTATGTTAGTTTTGTACTAGAATGTTCGTGATTCTATAGTGATTTACTGTAAAAATTCTGTTACTGTACTTACTTACTATTGTGGTGACACAAGTGATTTAGATATGGTTATGTTAGTTTTGTATTGGAATATTCGCGATTTCTATAGTGATTTGCTGTAAAAAATTCTGTTATTGTACTTACAGACTGCTCGTGTTATGGGGATACAAGTGATTTAGATATAGTTATGTTAGTTTTGTATTGGAATGTTCGTGATTTCTATAGTGATTTACTGTAAGAAATTCTGTTGCTGTACTTACCCACTATTGTGGTGATACAAGTGATTTAGTATGTTTATGTTAGTTTTGTATTGGAATGTTCGTGATTTCTATAGTGATTAACTGTAAGAAATTCTGTTACTGTACTTACCGACTGCGCGTGTGTTGTGGTGATACATGTGATTTAGATATGGTCATGTTAGTTTTGTATTGGAATGTTCATGATTTCTAGTGATTTACTGTAAAAAATTCTGTTACTGTACTTACATACTGCGCGTGTTGTGGTTATACAAGTGATTTAGATATGGTTATGTTAGTTTTGTATTGGAATGTTCATGATTTCTATAGTGATTTACTGTAAAAAAGTCTGTTACTGTACTTACATACTGCGCGTGTTGTGGTTATACAAGTGATTTAGATATGGTTATGTTAGTTTTGTATTGGAATGTTCATAATTTCTATAGTGATTTACTGTAAAAATTCTGTTACTGTACTTACTTACTATTGTGGTGATACAAGTGATTTAGATATGGTTATGTTAGTTTTGTATTGGAATATTCGCGATTTCTATAGTGATTTGCTGTAAAAAAT